GAAAACCTGAAGAAAAAGAGAAACAAAACATTCACAAGTTAATATACCACGAGGCCTTGAATATCTTGACCTCACCGAAAAATAGAAGGCAAAGAAGCAGAGGTTGACCAACAGCAGCTCATTTAAAATAGACAGCTTGAACAGATAGGTGACGTGGGCAATTAACAATAATGAAAATATGGTCATATGAGCGCGCGGGACACACCTAATATTTCCAGTTAGTAGGAAATTTTGAATTTTGCCCAGGTGGCGGCCGAAGCCTACTCTTATCGGTTTTAGAACACCAAGGGATCTTTAACGTGCGCAACTTGCACACGGGCCTTCTGAGATTTTTCGCCCTTGTCCGAGAACGATAGGTGTAGATCTTTCCTACCAGAAGATCAGGGGTGTGGATGAAAGACAGCAGTAAGAAGAAGCGAAGGAGTAGCAGTAGAAAGGCTGCAGAAAGAATCAGGAGCCCAGAGAGAAGGGCAAAGGAGGTGAGGGGGTGGTGGTAGAATGAAGAGACGAAAGCAGACGACATAACATTGCTAGAGAGCAGGAAATGAGGTGAAAGTAGACAAATTTAGAGAAGAAAATTTTTCGGTCGCTACCCGGATTCGAACCCGGGACCTTTGAATGAGAGGCCAACACCTTAACCTCTAGGCCAGGAGAGCCACCCGATAGATGTTTGATAGGAGAGAAGGAACAGACCACACTAGAGCACTCGCCAACCATCCACCATTCAACTCAAATGACGTATCAAATGACAGAAGATGTACATTGTGAGACCACCTAACAACAACAACAACAATAACAACAACAACAGCAACAACAAAAACACATACACAATTCCCAGGCCCACACACATTCTGGCATACAAAATTCTTCTGGCGATAGTGTCGAACAAATGTGTTATTAGAGTTTAATTTTGGGAGAGAATTTGAAGCTTTTGGGGCATAGGAAGGAACTTTAAGCTCTTTCAAACAATTCGTTAGACTTTACGGCGGGCACTCTGACACGATTCTCATCCACAGATCTCAAATGTATTGATACGCATATGAAGGGCTTCGTGCAAGAAGTGCCTAAACGTCGTTTTGGAGCAACTGAGTTTATTTATAAATTCGTTTTAAATTTTTTTCTCCCGTTTATTGTTCTCCTCAAAACGTAGTTCACATAATTTGATAAAGGCATAAGATCCAGGTTTGGCTCCCGATGTCGTTGACCATAAGCCAGGGGGTTGTTGGCT